TGTTCAATATATTGTACTTTCGGTATCTAAATGATACAATGTTGTTTACATTGCTCATGAGGACAGACCACCTTATTTGCAGATTCTTGAAATTGTAATTTAATTTGTAATTGATTGTGGATTTTGTATCCAGTTTTCACTTTATGTATCTTTATACAATGTTTACTACTTTGCTTATGAGGACAGACAGCCTTATTTACAGATACTTGAAATTGAATTTTAATTGAATTTGTAAATAGTTACATTCATTTGGATTTATCCAGTTTGCACATTTGCGTGCATGCACTTATAGGTGCATTTGTTGTTGTTGAAGGCCTGGCTGTTACAGTCTTTATTTACACTATTTTGTTGTAGGCCTACTGGCCTAGATGTTTATTTTAAAGCACCTTGGCTTTGTTCTGAATGCACTTTGTTCTAGTTATCCTACAGAGAAAAGAAAATGCACTTGACTTGGAATTAATGTACTGTATGCATTCAAAAGTGCTGAATAAATGTTTTATGGACCCATAATAGTGATAATTATTTAAGTTAAGTTTTGCCATAATCATGTCTTTTTCCATAATCAGGTAGCTGAACAACATTGGTAAAAAATGTATACATTATATATATATATATATTTCTATTAATCATTTTCGGGCATTCGGTTTTCGGCCAACTGTTTCCTATTTTCGGTATCGGTTTCGGCCAAGAATTTCCCATTCGGTGCACCCCTAATTATATGTGTTGTCACCTCCAGTGTGCAATTGTGAATCAAAGCCCTGATGTGAACATAAGTATTAATGATATTGTTTAAACATCAAAATCCTCTGATTTGATTCCTAGCCCTCAGGCAGAGACTATGAAGAAGAAGAGCACTTCTTCTCTGTCCCAGCCTTCCTCACTGTGTCTGGTCAGCTTCACTTGGAACTGATGTCAGGGTGAGATCAACTATATGGATTTATCTTCTGGTGATCACATCTACCTGCTTGCACGTTCGGTTCCACCTCAGAAAGTTAGAGATACACTTTAGCACTGAAGAGCTTTTTTTAATTATGCCATGTCACTCACATTTGTTGCAGGGCTTTTTCTAAGGTTTACACATTTGGGCCAACTTTTCGGGCTGAGAACTCCCAGAGCAGACGGCACCTGGCTGAGTTTTACATGGTGGAGGCCGAGGTCTCCTTCGCTCAGTCCTTAGAGGATCTCACCAAGGTACACTATCACGGTCTTCAAAGCACATTTTTTCTATTCAATTAAGCATGTTATAAAAAATAAACTAAAAGTTTTATAATGTGTCATCTTATTTTATCTGAAAGGGGGGGGACCACTTTTATGAAGGAGAGAAGTAACCTTTACTCTTTCCCGTGACTTTTTTATGAATCATAGTCGTCACAGACTGGCTAATGCATTAAACATGAGGATCTTAGATGGCGTGAACCTATGTCACACCACATACATTTACGTCTGCTGAAGTTTAAACTTTACACTTGCCTTTTGTGACTTTTAAAATTGCCCTTATGCGCAGTTATTCAGAAATGCTTTAATTATTAAACCGGCCCCGCTCACAGGTCATGGAGGGCATGTTCAGATCTGCCACGGAGCATGTCTTGGCTCACTGCGCTGAGGATGTGGATTTGTTTCACAAGCATGTGACTCCTGGACACAGGGTGAGTCCTGAAGGACACTTATTTAACTTGGCTACATAACCTAGCTCCTTAAACCAACCAGACACAACTGCATCTCACTGTATTATAATCTCAATTACAGGAAATTGTAGAAGCTATGCTGAAAAACAGATTCCCTACGTAAGTCTTTGTTATTTTAAACAAGGAAGTTATATCAGCAAAAGAATGAAGTCTAAGGCGTTTAATCAACAGTATCTGAATCTACTTTTAGGATTACCTACAGTGAGGCTATCAACATCCTAAACCGCAGCTCTGAGAATTTTGCCTTCCCAACAGACGTAAGCGCAACATAATTATTTTCTCCTTCATATCTACACCTGTATATTTGATACTATCATTCCACTGAGCTCCTCTTTGACCTTAGCTCTTCTTTTCCACAGTGGGGCTGTGACCTTCAGACAGAACACGAGAAGTACCTGGTGAAACATTGCGGCAACATTCCAGTGTTCGTCACTGATTATCCTTATGACCTCAAGCCTTTTTATGCAAGAGACAACCAGGATCATCCTGAGCATACAGTAAGACGTAGTTCTGCTGTGAAAAACACAAAGCCAATCAATGATTTAACCGCTCCGTTCCAACCTTGTATTGTCCCTTGGGTTATCGCAGTGATTTGCATTTCTGCGCTGACTGCTGTTTGTGTGCAGGCAGCTGCAGTGGACCTTCTTGTGCCAGGAGTTGGAGAGCTCTGTGGGGGCTCGCTGAGGGAGGAGAGGCTGGATCTGCTGAGAGCTCGGCTCCAACAGTATGTACATGAACTCCAGGTTTATTGGAAGCCTCGTGGCAATGGCATTCCCAATATTCGCATAGTTGCGTCAAATGTATTTGTATTTCAATTGAGATCAAGCATAATCCCAGTAGTGCTAGCTGGCCTGTGCTGCAGTGGCTGTAAAGCATTTTTTGTGCAACAACTCGGACATGATCATTTGGATATCATGACAGCCCTTAAAGACACTATAATCTATATATGTTTTTTTATTATTCCTGACCGTCACGTTGTATGAAAACTAAATTACATCTGACATTAACCCTACGTGTATTTTTTTCCAGGGCTGGATTAGAAGACACCTACCGCTGGTAAAAAAAACACATTTATATCAACAACATTCTAAAAGAAACACCCATACACACCAAAGAACTGTAATGACATTTTATTTATTTGCAGGTATCTGGATTTGAGGCGTTTTGGCTCCGTGCCTCATGGTGGATTTGGAATGGGATTTGAGAGATACTTGCTATGCATCCTCGGTGTTGACAACATCAAAGATGTGATCCCCTTTCCTAGGTTTTCACATTCATGTGTTCTATGAAACAGTTTCAGCCTTGTAGAGATTTTAATGACAGGATTGGTTGTCTGCCTAATGACAAATAAAAATGATTTTAACTTATACTTGCTTGTCAGAGTTATTTCTTGGTTTATTGGTATTTAGATATCATTATTTATTTAATTTATAATGTATCTGCTCCTGAAATATTAAAACAATGACCATTGGTATTTGAAATGAGTGTTAATATGGAATTAATTTCAATCAACTGTAAATGATTTCCCAACAATAAGAAATTCTTAATGAAGTATATTTTTCACCACATATCAGGGAAGTGTTAAGTAAAATGTAAGTACCTTTTTTATACATGCATAAACTTCCAAATAAAAAAAAATATTGTTTTTTTTCCAAAGCAACTGACAGTATTTCCACTAGATGGTGCTTTTTCCCCAGGCCATCCAGTGGATCAAATAATTTACTCGGACAATAACAGCAGCTTCTGACTCTTGACCTTTTGTTTCAAACACATATCACCGTTACAATATGTTAGCTGTTACTGATACTTAATTATTTGGTTAGGCATTCAAAACACTTTAGATGCAATAATATGCAATCAGATTCGTTTCCGTATTCGAAATAAAACAAACATTTGTTTTTGGTGAACCTTAAAGATGGTATATCACAAATCAATCGGTTCCTCAATTATTTACACTCCTTTTGGGATCTTGGAGCTACTTTGTGGCTGGCCGTGCTTCCATCCTGTTCATCCCAGCGCAGCCCATCCCTCTCTCGGCTCGGTGGGCGTGGTATGAGTTGGGAAAACAAACTGCAGACACTCTACGATACTTCCTCACCCTGCATCAGTTGAGTTTCCCCGCGGCTCCTCGTCAGCTGGCCGTGCGTAAATCCCCAAGAGTCGAGTTGCGCCTTTCTATCTCCCCCCCCCCCCCCCCCCAAGTGTGGCTTTGCGGGGCGGTCGTTGCGCAGGGTTCCACCAGGAGCGACTGGCAACGTCCCCGAACAGCACTACTTTGATTTGTATCAAATGGAGGGAGCGGACTGCACCAGCACTGAGAGCCAAACGCCGACAGCACTTTGAACAGACAAGCGATCAGGAGCCGTCATGTTCTAGTGACAGACGGCAGTTGTAGAGCAAGAAGAGACAGCACACCCTGGCAAATATGAGCGGCGGTGAAATCATCTTCCAAGGCTGGCTTAGGAAGTCACCTCCGGAGAAAAAGCTGAGGAGATATGTGAGTGATCTCTACTTTCACTTAGTTTTGCTATGTTTATGAGTTTAGCTGAAACAGCAGTGTGCGAGTTTCCTCTCAGTCAAATTGCTGCTTTGTTCATATCTGCATCAGAGTCAAGTGGTGTCAAACTCCAATATTTAGAGCCCAGTTGTAGCAGGTGCACCCCACTACCATCTGGACCTCTCCTCTCTTTTGTGACCCATGGGAGGCAAAACATGTTATCCTGGTTTCTGAAATAGGCCTACAGCCTCAATCCAATATCATTTAGAAATGTGTGTTAACATGAAAATGCAGTTGCCAGGTTTTATAGCCCCTGCTGTGAGGTCCAGTGACAACATGGTAGTAAGCCTGTGTAATACCCGGCAGCTGTCTATCATTTTGACTAAATCAGACACACATACACACACACAAACTGTCATTTGGCTTGGTCTGATCATTATGAGGTAATGTCTAATCAAGCATGGAGGTGCAGTTTTCATCTAATGTCGACTAATGTCACAGCAATAGTAATAACTGCACAGCTCTTGAGTGTCTTGATAAGGCTTCATAAGCCAAAGCTGCTCATCTCTTGCTGGGTGCTGGGCAGGGGAAAGGCTACAAATCAGATAATAGGATGTATGCAGGCAGATAGAACCATGAGACAATCTCCTATAAATACAGCTGTCCACTGTTTATGTATGGTGTTGCATTACCAGGCCTCTCTCTCCATGTTCCTACTAGCTGATTTTGCCATGATGTCATCTCTCCGTTTCATCTGGAAATCCATCATTGGATGTCTTCAAATGTAGCCCCCCCATTGTCCTGTCATTTCCTCATTGTCTTTCACTTAAAGCTGGCTAATGTTTACACAGAGGCCACCGTGGTCCGTATGGAACGGCAGAGGAACAGAGGAAAAAAACTTGCCTGGTTCATAGCAGTACTGTATAAACAAGGAGAGAAAATGCTCACAAGGCATATTGGTGCTAAAATAATGGCCTTCCTCAGGCAAGAGAGCAGGCTCTCAGCCCTTCTCACCCTGAGCGATAACCAAACAACTGCACACACACAAACACAGTTTGAGCCAGAAAACAGTGTCATGAGATGGAGTGTACAGAACAGGCAGACATGTGAATGCGATAATCTGTCCATCTGAAATTCCTTCCACTTAAGTCAGGCTATGGACAATCGGGGCCATTTACTCACCAGTATTGCTGTCATCTGACAGAGTTGACGTCCTATTGCAGAGGGATATTTTCAGATACTACTTTCACATACCCGCAGACATTCCAGCCTGAAGGTGTGTTGTGTTTCTCAGAGTACTTGGTAGCAAGTTTGATTGGTCATTATATTGGAATGAGCTGAGGAGGTGTAAGGAGTGTATTGTTTCAGAGCTCCAATGTTAAATGCTCCAGTTCATACTATTGGGCCTCTTTTGGGAGATTATTTGCTACAATTGTGTGTGTTTTAATTCTTAGTTCTTCCCTGTCAATATTCCACCACTTTTTTTATATTACCAAAAAAGTCCTCCCTAAGCCAGATGAGGCCTGTGTTTGTTAATCAGTAAAGTTGTTGTTGAAATAATTGCTCATTGGTCTCTAAAAAATGTGGCACACAGATATGCAGCATGGAATTCCACGCCTGGTTAGAAGAGTCAAAACTGGTACTACCACCACAGGTCAGGCATGCAAATGATATGCAAAATCAGCGAGAAAACACTTATGGCAGTTGGAGCCTCAATGCCTCTGTGGGTGAAGTCATGAGAAAACATGCTATGCTTAGTAACAACAAGTATGACTAGTCTTGGTTAATTGTTTGCTAATTTATTTACCAAAGCTATTAACTCTCAGCAGTGACTCACTCTTTCTACATCAGCTCTTTGCTGGACAAACATCACTAGACGAGTGTAAACTCTCCATGCCCTCCCTAAACATGTGACACGGCATAGCAGACGTGTGTAGCCCCTTTCACACACGCTGCATCTTCACAAGGAAAACAGTCGCGCTCTAATGTCCCAGTGCTGCTAAATGATTCACTTGGTTGAAGTTTATCTCGTCTCAGGGGCTGATGGAGGCTTCAGAGGTGGGCCGTGTTTTATGGGCAGGTGGGAGTGGCCTGGTTGCTTTTGTTGAACAATGTCCAGAATAAGCAAAAGGAACATGAAAACAACTGACTAATCCAGCACTTACCTAATGCCTCTTACACAGTTCTTTCGTGGTTATTTTACACATCACTCAGCATTCAGATCATATGCTTCAACATTTCTCCTACAAACTATTTCCTATTTTATTTGTAGTCGCTGCTTGATCAATATAATGATCAGAAATACTTGACCTGTTATAAACAAACGAATGCTCACATTTAACCTTACCTGACATCCAATGACGACATATGCACAATATCAAGCACGTATGAATAGTAATTTGCCTGCTCAACATGCTGCGTGTCATTCTGTAAACAAATTAATTCCTGTTCTCAGGTCAGGATCAGTGGCTAGACCCTCCCATTTGCCGTTGTTGTATCCAACATCACAAAACGTGTCTGTTCACATACAGTAAAGCATTGCCACATTCCACATGGATCATATCGGCAAGGTGATAGCTGCAGCTACAGCTCTCTGGATCTGCCAGTTTCTACGGGCTTTACCATCTTGCCCTTGCGGATGGTACAGAGGAAGAGAGGCGGGGGGGAGGTGGTGATTTTTTAAGGCGGACATGGTGTGTCCCACTGTCAGCTGCCGGGTCTGCAGTGTTTTTGAAGAGGGGCTTTGGGAAGTCCTTGCCCTCAGAGGTCAAACGAGAACGCCTCCAAGTTCCTGCTTTGACAGACACCCAGCACTCACACAGACATTTTCCTTGTTCCACTTTATCTGTGGGACCTCGACAGGGCCTTTGCCCACAAACTACAAAACCGGGGTGGCACTATGTGACTGCGATATCAAAGTCAGATTAGTGTATCATTGTTGGATATGTACGGCTAACAGATTCCTTGTGATGGTCATAAAGCTGAAGCCTTCGATCATTTTCATTGTTGGTTAATCTGTTGACTGTTTCTTTTAAACATTAAAGATCTCTTATAAACATTTTAATTGCTCCTGTTCCATGTTTAAGAGGCAGGGAACAGAGAATGTATTAAAGTTTTTATTGAGCTTAATTATGATCTCTTATCAAATGTGTTGCTAATATGTTTTCTGAAGATCAACAGCGGTGACATTCATAACAAATGAATGCATATAAGTCAAAGTTGTTTGTCACAATTATGCTTTACTCCACCTTTTGACATCCATTCTTTCACATTCATTGTGAAAATCCCAGGGTGGCCATGTTTGAACCTTTGTCAAAATATCCTGTCCTTTGCCATGAACTCTGGTTTAGCGTGTGTGTTTTCTGCCCAAAAATTAATTATTGCAGCACTAGCAGATGCCAGACTTCCTCTGGATGGTACCTACAGGAAGTGTTGTGACAGAGGCCCCATGACAGGGAAAGAAACTAAATTGGTCTGTGAGTATATAAATGTATTTTCATCTAACAAACTTTATCAGCTTACATCAGAGTTTACAAATCTGCTGTTCTGAAGGAAATTAGATCCCATTGATTTTTCTCTTTGACCATCAGCAGAGATAGTTCTTTTTTTCTCAGAAAGTTCACTATCAGATGAGTGATGGTTTTATTTAACTGTGCTTAAAATAAAATAAATGAGTCATTCTACAACTACATGGGTTAAAAACCTCTGACCAAAATAACTTCTGGGATTATTCCATTCCTGTTTGAAACCCTCTGCTGATACACATGATTACAGCCCAGCAGAGCGTTGTATGAGGGAGACCCTAAACAAATAGTTGGCATCTACAACATGTTGTTTGATAATATCCTGACTAACAGCAGTATAAAATGCTCACTGATGATTATAGATACAGTATATGATCTGTTAAAGTATGTCCTCCCAATTCCGGCTGTTTTTGTAACACAAGCAACATAATCTAAGTGTAGTACTATTAGTTTGTTGCACTGTTTCTTCTGCATGAAGATACATCTAGTCTCTGCACGGTTGATAAGATAAGAAACAAGCAATCATTTACAGGAATCATACTACCAGCTTGTACATGTTAGTGGCTTATGTCATGTAACTTTCATTGGATTGGCCCACTGATGGAACGGGCTTTGAAATGGTGATGTCAGTCAGTAGAAATGCCTTTTGGCCTTCCACACAGCAGCATGCAAACAAAAATAAACGTGAGAATGGTACCAAAAACCATTATTAAGAGCAAAAGATTAACATTTATGTTCAGAAATATGAATACTAGCTGTGTTAGAGCTTGTTGAAAGCTAACTCATTTTCTTTTTTTTGCATTCATTTAGTGGTTTACTTAGCACACTTGCTCTTTTTGACCAGCATCCTGCTCTACACTGGAGACAGTTGCTCACACCACACCTCTCGGATGCCCCTAAGCAAGGAGCAGGTTCAGTTTAGATGCAGCATGATAGTGGATGTTAAATAACAGGAAACTCTGGTGTTTTTATAGCTTATATACATCTAAAAATACAATTTAAGATAAACAAACGTTTGCACATGCCATTTACAGAACGTAGTTTGCAATAACCCCTGAAATGGGGTATGGAGAATGTATTATTTCCTTATTACAGCTTATACAGTAGGCAGGGATATTTCTAAAAGGGTCTGCGGTACCTTTTAGTGGGGACTTTTTTCTTCCCGCAAACATCCTGGTCATGCTGTTTTGTGAAGCAGGACTTTGATTAAACCGGATAATGTCTTGCTTGGTGATACATGGGGATTAATTAAGGTACCACTTATAAGGGAAGTAGGTTATTCATGGAATACAAATAACTTGTTTTTGCACCTTAGGAAATATACTATTTGACCTTGCTCAATGCCCCAAGACACATTATTTCAAGTGAATTGGGAGTTAATTGTCTGGGCCTGTTTGGTACAAGCCATGGTGGAATATGATTTTAACACAAGTAGGTGAATCACTTGCCTTGTTGCAATAGTCTGTAGGAGTTGGA